GCTGGCACAGGATTTGGAAAATATTGCACACAAGGCCTACCTAACTGCCCCACCCGATGTCCTCAAGCTGTTGCTGAGGGATCAGTTTGTAGATGCCTTGGACAATCCACAACTAAAGATGCTAGTAAAGCAAGTACACCCCCTCTACTATGCTGGATGCAATGGCCAGAGCACTTGAATTTGAATCCTACGTTAAGTCCAGCACAGAGGTACCAAGTTTGGTACAGTCATCAGGATTCAAGGCCAGAAAAGGACAGCTTTCAGAGAACCCAGAGGGACAACTGGCACTGTAACAAACTGGGGCACAAGAGAGCTCAATGCCGGCAACTTCAACACAGGGAAGATGCCACGGCAGGAAAGGCTGCTACCCAGAAAAGTTGTTAGAACTGTGGAGAGCAAGTGTAAGAAGAATCTACCAATAAGTCAGCTTCGGGAAACCAGTAGTGGTTGGTGTTGAGGGACGCCCACAGACGTCCATTGTGAAAATCCCAACAGCTAAGTGTAAAATGGCAAGCACACATATTGTCTACATGACAGAAACGCTGGATGGCCAAAAGTGCAACTTTGTCATGGATTCTGCATCCCAGCAAACTCTTGTGAGTATCAGGATTCTAGATCACAAAGGAGTGCGAGAAGCCATATAGAAGCTCTGTGGTGTGACAGGACATTATGCAAGATTGTGGGGACCAGTGTGGAGAACTATTGAGCTCATGGGCTTAAAGGACAGACACAAAGTATACTTGGCTGACATTGAAGACCAATGCATTTTAGGGTTGGACTACTTACTACCGAGCAAGTGTGTAGTTAACTTCGATAAATCGACGATTGGAAACAACAAAGGCCAAATTCCAGTAAGTGTTGCTGCATCTGTTGATTTGCATGTCACAGCACTTAAATCAAGTACAATACCCCCTATGTCAGAGAAGATAATCGGAGGTAGTATAAAAGAACATCCCCAAGGAAGCCCGATGCTTGTGGAAGCAGTGGAAGACCAATCCAGGCCAGTGGATGTGAAGATTGGAAGGTCACTTGTGGCAGGTCATCAAGTAGTACTCATAACAGCGGCTAATTTCTCTAAATGTGAGCAGACACTTAAGGAAGGGGAATTGTTTGGTGTGTGCCAGGAGGTAGAGCCAGTCAGTGTTAAGGCAATAAATACAACCATAAAGAAAGGACATCCTCTACCAGAACATTTAACTGACCTATATAAGAAGAGTATAGTCCATTTGTCATCATCATCATCACAGGCTCTTCAGGTTAGGTTACTTTTGGCGAATTATGCTGACGTCTTTTCAAAAGGAGATCATGACCTCGGCTGCATAGACCTTGTGGAGCACAGAATAAACACAGGCAATCACCGTCTAATAAAGATCCCTCCGAGAAGAATAGCTCCAGCAAAGCGACAAAAGATGGAGAAGGTCATGGATGGCCTAATTGAGGAAGGGATAGTCGAGAAATCAGATAGTCCCTGGTCAGCTCCCGTCATGTTAGTTCAGAAGAAGGATAAGACCCAACGTTGCTGTGTGGACTTCAGGGCTCTGAACAGTATAACCGAAAAGGACTCATACCCGCTGCCAAGGACCAGGACGACCCGGACGTTGCTCAGTTGTTTCCTTGCCGTGTTTCCTGAACTGCACGATGATTTTGTTGACTGTAGAAAGCGGGGTTCCCAAATTCTGCGAAATTTGCCGCTGACTTATTCCACCATCTGCTTGACCAACTATCTTTTCTCTAACAAAATCTGACATTTCGAGAGAACCTTGAGTTCCAGGCACGTTGTAGCACAAGATAATTAGTGTGCGGACCATTTTCATTTATATAGTGCTCTGTGAACACAAATTAGTTAAACGACGAAAAATTAGGTGTCTATTTACTTGTGACCACTCAGTGTATATATATAATAGTAAATCCGTCACAGACTGAAAATATAAGAAGGTTACTTAGCATGATTTTATTTACATACATACCTTATACACAGTCTAAGAGCCTATCAATACTTTCTCAAACGCAGATAACATTCAGAGTTCCTATCCCTGCGATTATTACAGCTCCTACTATTAATATTTCCATTATCGTATGTCTCATAAGCAGGATTTAAAGGGCATCTCAAAGTTGTTAACGAATTAAAACAAATTAAGTGTGATATTTTTTAATTTCTGCATCATAAGCTTGCACAACGAATTTTTAGCGACTCAATTACCGGAAACTTTTCAAAAAGTGGTGCAGGTGTTGTTGTTTTTGTTAAAGGTTTTTACATATTTTCTTAATGATATCACTGTAATTAATATATATATATATAAACAAAACTTTGTGCTCATTATCGTAGTATATTTCATCTAGTCTGTTTCATTAGGAACAACAACACTTCCAAGACTGGCTGCAGACAATTAACGGCATTTGGAGATGAACCAGATAACATACATTTACTTCTAGTCCTAATTTTAAATTAAATCGGCAAGTGAAACTTGCCAATGGGAGTTAAATCTGATAGGCGATACATTTGTATCATGTTTGTACAGTAGAATAATTACCACCTCGATCCTGAGGAAGGCTAGAAAGACAACACATGCTTGAAATCCCGACTCTAGTACTAGACTCAAGGCTTATAAGGTTGGCGAAGTAATGCATGGCACTGCTTACACACACACACACAGAAACAACAACAACAAAGAAACAATAAAGAACGATACTTAAGATGTTGATACTTTTCCCTAACAAATAAGTATAGTAAGTACACACATGTGAATCAATATAAATTTTTCACTTTCCTTCGGATAATGAAAGGATGTGTATATATATATATCACTTTTTTAATCCAGTACAAATGATCTATACATTTAAATAACTTACATCCAAAGCATCCTGAAAATTAATTCCATTACTCTGTATCAAAATCTTTATTATGGTTCAAAGTTAAAGTGAACATTTGAAAATTTCGTCGTTAAAACTTTGGTGGGATGGTGTAAATATTACAGGACTGGATGTTTTTCTGGACTGCTCGTGCTTTGCTTTTGTATAAAAAAGACGTTGTGAAGGAAAAGGAGGTTGAAATGTTTCCATGAATAGAGATTCCAAGGTGTTGCCAGGAAGAAAAAGTCCAAATCTTTGTCATTAAAAAGGAAGCCGAAATGTTGTCAGAAGGAGAGAGTCTGAATCAATGTCAGGAAGAAAGAATCCAAAACGTTGCACGACAAAAGAGGCCGAGAGTTTTTCAGGAGGAAGGAGTCCAGAGTATTTTCACTATAAAATCTAATATAAGGCATGCGCAGATGATTGAAACACGTTATTTTTGTGAATTACTTTACGTATTTTAGCTAATAATTTGGTGATCTTTCGTTGAACACAGTTCAGCATAAAGTAATCGTCATGCTGGTTCACAATATAGGAGCTTCAGAAAAGTAAGCAGCTTGAGAAATCCATGAAAAAGTTGGACAAGGAAATGAAGAGGACTGACGAACTGTTGTATCAGATGATTCCAAAACAGGTAGCTGATAGACTGAGGAAAGGAGAAGCATCTGTGGATACATGCCAGGTAATATAAAAATCTCGTGTATATTCTATTACTTGATTCTTTGAATCATTTACGCAACATTACTTCCCAATGGCTATATCTATGTTTCATGGTTTAAATACTTGAACAACTTTCTATGCTCTGACTATTGCAAAAACCTACAAAACAAGTTAATATTTCAGTCGAATTCTCACCGCCTTTAAACAGCCGAGTTACTAGAAAACATGAAAAATAATCAACCAAAAACTAAACAAAGGTATATATATCAAGAGCCTGATTGTTTTTATTTCTGTGTGTCTTGTAACGTATAAACTAAATCTAACAACTTGTGAAGAATAGAAACATAATGTATATATAATTGGTTTTCAGGCACATTGTGCTACTAAATTAAGACTTTTTTTGTCACAATGTAAAGTAAAATGTTGATTATTAGTTACAGCCGATTAGATTCGGTATAGTTGATATAATAGCACAATGTGCCTGAAAAGAAATTATGAACTATCGACGGTTCACAAGACAGCTATCAGCCTTGATGATGGTAACTATGTTGTTGAAACTAATTGGCTGTAACTAATAATAAAGATTTAATTATTCACTCTGCCAATAAAGGTCGTTTTTTTAACTATTAATATTATATATATATATATCACAAAATTGTATTCAATTGTTAGAAAGATTTTAACACAGCAAATCACTGAAAACAAAATTGTTTTAGTTTTACTTTTCTTTCTAATAACAATATGTTTGTAATTTAGCACAAAGTTACACAATGGGCTATCTATGCTCTGCCCACCAAGGATATAGAAACCCGGATTCTAGCGTTGTAAGTCCGCACACATACTGCTGTGCCACTGGGGGGCAAATAAAGGTTGGATGGTGCTTGCTGTGTGTGTTTTCTTATAGCAAAGCCACATCGGGCTATCTGCTGTGTCCACCGAGGGGAATCGAACCCCCTGATTTTAACATTGTAAATACGAAGACTTACCGCTGTCCAACAGGAGGACATTCTAATAACAACAAGCAAACACTATGAAATACTTTATGACAATCATAACTCCCTCCCCCCCCCCTCAGTGGTTAAGCGGTAAGTCTATAGACTTATGGTGCTAAAAACCGATCTGTACTTAAGAACAAACAAATAAACAAATACCCAGAACAACAGTAACCATCAAAAAGTTTGGAAGTTATATAATATTTTACGATATGAACGTTCAATACAGTGTAAGTTTTAAGTGTCATTTTTTAATATTGTAATGCTTCAATAAATTTATACTTCCAAGCTACCTTCATATCATATATTAACTTAACGAGAGCTTTCGAGCTCATCTTGAGGTCTTCTACGCGTAGCCAGAAAAACCTAACGAGTACTTATTCAGTCGATTGATGAAATGGCTGCCTATTATAAATTAAAACAGGAAATCTTTAGGTTTCTATTTTCATTATTTTTGCTCACAGTGTTTCAAATAGATTTCCATAATGTGACCTTATATTAGTATGTTTTGTGATAAATGTCATAATATAATTTGAATTTTTTACTGTCTTTAATGCTTTAGTAATGCAACAAATTACGAGCGTAGATATCTTACTGGAAATGATAATTTTTAATAAACATTTTATTATGGTATCCACTACTTGTTTAGTTATTACAATCTTTATTTTTCATGATACACCCTTGAACCAGGACTTTGACTCCGTGACTATCCTCTTCAGCGACGTCGTTACCTTTACCGAAATTTGCTCCAGAATTACACCGATGGAGGTCGTGACAATGTTAAATTCAATGTATAGTTTGTTTGATCAATTAACTGAACGACACGGGGTGTATAAGGTGAGTGTTGTAATAAATACTATGGAAAACAGCAACTTTATTGTTCCGATTTTTGTTTGACATAATTCAGCGCAAATGTATAAAAATCAAGAGCTTTCTTGTATCAAAAATGAGGTGTTTAATGTCTCAAACAGAACAATGCACATTATATTTTGTTACAAAACAAAATGCGTTTCTTGTTGTACCAAATGGCTTATATATATATATATATATTTATGGTGTTCCGACCACTATTTCATTTGTCGTATCCCAGCCGGCCTGAAGCGATGTGCCTTCATCAATGGATATGAAAAATATAGTGTTGGAATACTAGTCTTCATCAATGGATATGAAAAATATAGTGTTGGAATACTAGTCTTCATCAATGGATATGAAAAATATAGTGTTGGAATACTAGTCTTCATCAACGGATATGAAAAATATAGTGTTCGAATACTAGTCTTCATCAGTGGATATGAAAAATATAGTGTTGGAATACTATTATTATTCACTCTTGTAATCCTTGAAAATCCCTACGGGACTAGATTAAGAATGCAGTGGTTAAAATGTAATAGGCCTAATACTAATGTCTTATGACAAGTACAAAATGCGCTTATTGTCGTAATGCCTTCTTACCTTTGTTCTCTACAGTAATTTAACAAGCGAATTCAGATTTTAAAATGTGATTGAATTAGTTTTGTTATCATACCAGCTACGAAAGGCTTTAGAATATGAGTGAAAATACTGCATTAAATATATTACTTGTTTGTTATGAATTTCGCGCAAAGCTGCACGAGTGCTATCTGCGCTAGCCTTCCCTAATTTAGCAGCGTAAGACTAGAGGGAAGGCAGCTAGTCATCACCACCCACCGCTAACTCTTGGGCTACTCTTTTACCAACGAATAGTGGGATTGACCGTCACAATATAACGCTCCCACAGCTGAAAGGGCGAACATGTTTGGTGTGACGGGGATTCGAACCCTCAGATTGCGAGTCGAGCGCCCTAACCATCTGGCCATGCCGGGCACAAACAAAAGGCTCTAGTATATTTCTCACTATCTAAGTTTAACGATCAATGATTAAAACATGTGAATAGCATGAATTATTTAAATTGTTATCAACAACTTTTCTACACACTGTTTGAATAGAACGAAATGGTGCTCTCAGTGTTACCAGCTATGTTCTACTTAAAACCTTCACAAACGTCGGAGCCCTTATATGACCCTAAATTAATAATTGTGAGATGGTAAACAATTAATTAGTCATTGAAAATAATAGGTTTCAAAGATAGCGCAAACTTTCAATTAATTATAGTTATATCCGTTGTCCGTTCAATACATCTTTCAGGTGGAAACAGTCGGCGATGCGTACATGGTAGTTTCAGGTGCGCCAGAGTGTAATTCAAAACATGCTGAGAAAATCTGCGACATGGCGTTAGACATGGTGGACATTATAGGGGACCTTCATGATCCCTCTACCGGTAAAAGTTTACAGATTCGTGTGGGTAAGTGATAGCTTTGCATAATAACAAATACCAGTTATTACTCAAATAATTGTTATCTAAACCACTATTTGACAAAAATCTTTGTATGGGTATCTATGTCCGTTTATAACTGATGAACTGCTGGAACGAATATCACCAAACCTGGGTGTAAATATGAGGGTTGAATTTCTGATTTGATTCCCCCCTCCTCCTCCATTTCACTCCCGCGGTTCCCTATGTCTTCACGTTCATTGAATGGGTGCGTCATTTAATTCAACAATACTGAGCAAAATAGGTTAGTTATTTTAGTTTTTAGAAGACAAGACAACAATAAGATTATAAGTCCTAAAGCAATATTGTATTTTAATGTAAGATAATTCGGTCAACGGAATTCAACTTTTAACAGTTGTATTTGAAAACAACTGTAAATATATTATTCAAGAAAACGAAAAATCAGCACATTAATAAAAATACCAAAACATATCTAGTTTTAGAAGGCGGTCAGAGCTATAGAACATTCAATAGGATAACAATGGACAACAAAAAAATTTGCTACTAGAAAAAAACTCAAGCGATTCAGGGTAATTTGATGATGCTGATTTCAAAAAAATAGGCAGAATTCGTCCATAACCTCTAGATTTTGAGTTGTTATAATATTTCAGTATTTTATCAGCACTATGTGAAATACCATGCAATCAACTTAGTAAAATAGATTTATGTTGTGAAATTACGTTTACTTGGACAGATTAATGAGTAAAAGCCATAAATTTTTGATAACTTCAAATATTAACAGTATTATATTAGTGTAGAACTGCACCACTTTTGCTTCATTCTCACGCTCACCTGCTCCGCCTGAGAATCACTAAATACTCATGTGCTCAATTTACTAGAACATTCGAGAAGTTCCTCGACTGAGCATAAAATGGACAGAGTCAGACGCCTCTCTCTCTCAATTGCCTCTCACTCACTCAGTTGGTCACTTCGCTTAGCTCCGCACACAAAGTCCGATCTTCTTCCTCATATCATACCCACGATATAATCAAATTCTGCAAAGCTTTGTTGTAGTTGTTTTTGTTTTAAATCTTTTAAACTCTAGTTCTGTAAACATAAATTATTTTATAATGTATAGAAAATCGTTTGAAATGCTAGCTGCCTCCAGTTCAAGTAAAGTCCGAAAGTGCAAAAATCACCCAAATAGTTTCTGCTACTTTTGTGGAAAATATATTACAGTTTCACGAAGGAAAAATATTACACGCAATGTAAAAGTAGCTTACTACCACTATTCTGGGCGTAAAATTAGAGACCAAGAAAAATATTATGCTCCACATATGTGTTGTACAGTTTGCACATCTGGCTTGACATAGTGGCTGAATAAGAAGAGAGCAAACATGCAATTTGCAGTTCCCAATGTATATATGATATAACGAGAGGCCAAAGATCATTTAACTGACTGTTATTTTTGCATGCCTAATTTTTCTGGATATTCAGGTGAAACTAAACAATACATTAAATATCCATATATTGCAACTACAATGAAACCAGTACCTCATGGGGATGCTTTTCCGGTGCCACATCTATATTTTGAATAATCTATCATGACTCGAAAACTAGAGATGATCAGTAATTTTCAACATCATTTTTAGAATCAGCATCATCAAATTACGCGGAAACGGTTGTATTTTTTCTATAGCAGAGAAATGTTTTGTTGTTCTTGCCTGGTATAATCTATGCTTATTCTATAATCTCAATATTATTTAAACCCCAAAATAAGTTAAATTTATAATTAAACAAAGTATGAATATCGAAAGTGTGGCTTAACACCTTTTTAATTGATTTAAACATATATTATTTTGTTCTAAAGTGATTCTGAATGATATAATGCTTAGTTAATCACAGTTGTTTGTGAACTAGTAAGTAGTTTTTATCATTTAAAAAGCCTCATTATTTTGCCAGTCTAGATTTTCTTGCCCTACCATACTATTTTGCTGTTAGTCTTAAGAAGAACTTTGAAGTTGCTTCCGTTGTAGTAGTAACTACTATTGTAATAACTTATTTTGTTCATGTTGGTTGAATTCTCAGCCCCAGCAAAAAGATTTGCTCGTTGTAATACTGCCCGATCTCCGTTTTCATGCACTCAGAAGTATTTACAGCTTTTCGAGAAAGTGTGTTACCTTTAATTTTTCTGTAGTTAAGAAAACTGTTTTCAAATAATCAGTAATTCTAACCTTAAATCTTAGCGCTTAACGTATAGTCACATGGCTAAGCAACATTATTGTTATCTGTTTGATAAAACCGCTAAATTTCGTGTGAAGCTCTTATAGGTCATAATAATAACTTTTAGATTTGGAGTCTTTCTTAATTTCACCTGGTATCCATGTATAGTAGGCCGACGTCCATGGTCAAAAGTCACTACCTTAGGTCCTAAAAGCCACAAGAAGGCCCAAGTGATAACAAAATAGATAGTTTAAGGTCAAGAAATCTGTTTTTGGACATTATAATGGGTACAGATAAATACAAAATCTAGGTTTGAGAAAAAGCTGTTAATAAAGTTTTATTATTAGAAGTTCTTCACATCAAACATCCATATTTCTGAAACCAATGCTCTCATCGTCTGTGATATTATGTTACTTATTACATTTGCATCTTCAATGTTCTCAGCGTGTTTCTAAAATTCTGGTACTTGTTTGTTTGTTTTGAATTTCGCTCAAAGCTACACGAGGGCTATCTGCGCTAGCCGTCCCTAATCT